AATGTACAACGTTTCGACAAGTTTGATGATGACAAAACCTTGTCGAAACGTTGTACATTTGTTGTTATGTTAAACTTATATTAAAGTTTTTCTTCACATTAGATACTCACAAATAAGTTAAAAAGACCAATGTTGATAGTTTTATTCTGTCACACATGCTTGACCAATGTAAATATAATTGTATGCATGATATTCATAGTCAGGATAAGCAATATAAATTTTTCAGAAACAGGATGGCATACAGATTAGATCTTTAGAGTAAAAACATAACCATCTAGATTAAAATATATGTTTTCTTTCATTAAAGCACTCGTTTAATCTTAAGATGGTGACTTATTTATGTGGTTGAACCAGTACAGGATTTGCTTTTCAAAAGAAAACCTGAAGTCATATTCATCACACTCCCCAGCTGCAGAAACAACAATATGCCAGTCACAGCACAGCAAATAGTTACACTTATGGTTTGATCTGTTTGGAATTTTGTGTAAAGCTACACAAGGGCTATTTGCACTAGCCATCCCTAATTCAGTAGTGATAAACTAGAGAAATACATTTTCAAGAAAGGAAAATGTTACTTCCAAGACAATGCACACCTCTGCACATAGAAAGCTAGAATCCCACTTTGATATGGTGGTGGGACTGGTGTAAAAATTTACTTTGATGAGCTCCCTTCAGAAACCACCAGAAGGAAGCCCATGAAGAGTGACTATCAGTGGCAGGGACTCCATAGGAACACAATAATGGGAGACCACATCTTATCTCTTCCAGGGTATGCTCTGTACAGAGTGAAAAGGAGATAGAGGCAAAAAGCCCCATGTGTTGCAAGTATTGGTGGAATAAGAACATGGCCATCCAAGTACATCCAAGAGGTCGGAGAGCCAATATGTGTAGCATGGTTGGGACGCATTCAGACCGCACCTAGTGCTCACCTAAACTGTACCTTTAAACTTACTGGACCAACAATGACTGCAGGAGGACACAGAAATTAATAGTGCATGCTTGTCTCAACCCTACCTGCAAACTCTTAGACTGACACCAGCTGCAGAAAAAGTGCACAGAATTCATGCCACAGAGAGTTTAATGATGGTGAGAGCTCACCTCAACTCTACAATCAGATTCTTGTACTGACACCAGTTGCAGGAGAAGGGTACAGAAATTCATGTCATAGATTATGTAATATTAAGCATACACGAATCAACTTGATTTGACAGCACTGGCTACATGAGAAGAGCATGAGATCAGTGTGTGCTCACCTCGACTCTACTGAACAGACACGATTGCAGGAGGAGGGCATGGTATAATGGTGCATGCTCACTTCAACCTCATTGAACAGATGCAGACTGCAAGAGGAGGAAACAGTATAGTATGAAGTGCTTGTGGCATGTTGTTGGTATAATCACATGATGGGCAACTTGCACTACACTGACAGTGTCACCATGACCACATTTCCCACTGATTGGCACCCCTTGTTTTAGTTCCAGTGGTCAGGTTCCAATCAAGGAGAGTTCTCCATAGCCAACCAAACCAGCAGCTAGGAACTGGTTAGTGGTAAGGGTCTCCCTTGCTCCCCTTAAAGAAAACAGGGAGGAATTTGTAGTGGGGAAACCCAGTGAAAATGCCTGGATCCACATTGATCCTGTTTCAGTTGGAAAAGTCTTTTACTGGAAAAAGTGCAGCAGGTGACCTTGTAAGCCTATTTTGAAAAGCCAGCAAGTGCAAGCCACAGAAGCAGACAGAGCACCCCCTGATGCTGGCTTTATCCATGATAGTCCATGGAATAGGTACAGTCTGGAACAGACAGTAGAAAGGTATCATAATATACCATGAAGATGCCTCAGGCGGTCTTGCAGAACACCCCATCTCAACAGTGGGCATAATGGGGCCAGGGTAGATGATACAAAGTCTTTCTGTTATCGTAGCTCAATGCAGAATTTTAGGAAATAAGTGTATCATAAGAGGAACCACTAGCCACCTGGCAGAATCCTCTAAACAAATGCAATAAACCATGGAGAATGTAGCCACCTGTGTAAAGAAGGTTGGCAGACTGTAGGACAGTGAATGGAAGCAGGCAGTGACCTTTAGGAAACAAAACAACCCTATGGTGAAGAGAGTGGATGGCAAAGTCATACAAGGTTGTCCATATGCCAGCTGGAAGAATCACATCCAGCAGCCATTGGAAGCAAGAGGCAAGAGAATGAGAGAGGTGATGAATCTGATGGGACAAAATGTGAACCATCTGTCAGCAACAATCTCCTATGAGGAGTAAACCAAACAAAGAATTTGGCTGAAAGAGATTAGTTCCTCAAGTAAGAGGAATCTCAGAAAATGTAGAGTGGAAGTTGGAAACCCCGAAAGTGAGAGATATGGGCTAAATAGCAATAAACAACATGGACAGGGCACAAAAGTCTGTCCGGGTCTGAACAATCATATAAGAGTGAAAGAGAAGGAAGGGAGAGAGGAGAAGAGTAGAGGTCTCCTCCCTAAGTTGCTGAAGACTGAGAGAGGAAGGACTGGTCTGGAGCAATAAGAATATAAGAGTGATGAAAAGAATATGGGATGAATGGTTAGCATAAAGATCTGCACAATAGCATCCAAAAGCAAGAAGTAAGAGGAATATGTCTGAAGAGAAAGTAGTAGAAGCTGCAGGCTGCCAACAGCTCAAAGAGGCAAGGGTAAAAGCATCCAGGGTGACACTGAGGTCCAAGTCAGGTATGGGAACAGGGCGAGTGGGTCTATGGATAAAGAAGAAACTGAACAAGGTGTAGAGAACAGGGGAAAAATAACTTGCAGTATGGAGAAAGGGGAAGACAAGGCCACCCAATTACTGGCAAAGGTAAAGACAGGTGAACCCTGTCGACCAGCATGGTAAGAGAAAGGAGATGTCTGATGGTAGAATGATCAGGAGGAAGGTGGCAATGGCTGGACCAATTGTCAAAAGCTATATCCCACAAATAGGTAGGACCAGGTAGAATGAGAAAGGAAAAGTTTACTAGATGGGAAAGTCTGGTGCAATTGGCAAAGGACCAGGTTAATCCAAACATAAAGGTAGAAGGACAAGATCCCATGTTCTCTTCATAGTTGTTTGTTGTCCCCAATAAGACAGTGAACTGGTGGCCAATTATTGACCTTTCCAATCTAAACTGCAACATAGACCTTCCTTTATTCACCATGGAGTCATTCTTATCTCTCTGGTGGGCATTTACTCCAGGTATGTGGATGACATAGATTGACGTGTCTGATGTGTACCTCCACATCCCCAGCATCCCATCGGTTAGTCCACAAGGAGTGGGTCTACCAATTCAGAGTCCTTCCCTTCAGGCTGGCCTTGGCCTATTATGTTTTCTTTTCTGGTGGTCAAGGCTTTTATCTTATGGCTTCACTCTCAAGGGTTCCATTTTCATCATTACATGGATAACTATCTTCTTCTAGCTCCCTCATTAACAGTTTCTTCCTGTCACACTCAGTTTCTTCTCAGAGAACCTTAATGGCTGGGTTGGTGATCAAATTAGAGAAATCCATTCTGTCACAGACACTACATCTTGTGCAGCTTGTGGTCCTTTTCAACTCCTACCTCAGTCATGCCCAGCCTTCTCTGGTTCAACTTCAGTCTATGGAGCTGACAGTTCAGAAAGCACAATCCTATTTTACCCACATGGGAGATTCTATCATTTTTTGGGACTTGGGCATCCTTGGAAGCCCTGATTCTCCTGCATTGGGCCAACATGAGGGCTCCCAGTGGGCTTTATATGATCAATAGGACCTTGCCAGAGATCCCCTGGATTCCCCTATTGACTTTCTTCCCTCCCTTCTCAACAATTTTGCCTGGTGGCTGAACAGAGACACCACCATGAATAGAGTTTCTCTTCGACCTCCCAGACCAGATTTACATCTTTTTTACAGATACACAAGGAAACTAAAACTTTTAATTTGACAGTTTGCAACCTAAATATATCTTGTCATCATCCATTTCAGATAAATTCATATAAATTTTCATGCATTTGTTCTGCACATCATATGGTATTCTTCTTAACAAAATGTTAGAAGTTCATAAAGATGTTTATCTTTTTTTACTTAGGTAGAGCTTGCATATGTAAATGCTAAGAAACTCGTAACACCTTGGTCCTGTGTCCAGCCTCTGGTAGAGACCAGTTCATCTCAATGGGTGAGTCAGGTACTTGTACAATTTGGAATTTTAGGCATTTTTCTCACCTTCAAATGTTATTTGGAATATTATGGGATGTAAGTAGTGCTGAATCTTGGTATATCACACTTTAAAGTTTGCATCTGAATTTTGGTAGTAAATAAACAAATTTTCTTGTCTTTGTCCTGTAAGGATGTTTCAAAGACTCCTCTAAGCCCAGCATCTAGTATAGTTAACCTGTGAACAAGTTATAAATCAACCAGAAGGTAAATAGACAACCTACAAAATTATTGTGAATATGCATTCAAGTTTAGACAATCCCATAAAGTAAGTCACTTAATGTGTTTTTATGCTTTGTTTTTGCCTCAAACTGCATGAAAATTGTTTTTTGCTATGTTTTCTGATCTGCACATACCTAAACAGATTTTTAACCACTTACACACTAGGGCTGAGACGAAGTATTCGAATATTCCGAAGCTTCAAAGCTGACAGAGGCTCCGGATCTGCCAGTGCCCATTCGAATGTTCTCACATTTATTTATAGTTTTATACGCATGCGCTATGCATACAATTTTTGATTAGAAAAAATGGCATCAGATAAGGGCGCGGTTGGAAGTAGTTGTAAAATGTTTCGGACGTATGGAGTTTTTATAAGAAACTTCACGACCGTAGGAAAGCTGTGTGCACTATTTGTAAAAGACAAACCTACGGAATCACCTTGCGTCGAAGCACTCGACTCTTTACTGTCCGGACATCGAGACAACCACAACGGAGAGCAGGAAGACATCTACCCTTGGTGGATTTGTAAGGCCTGCAAAGTACAATGATACACGTGCAAAAAATATAACAGACAGAGTGACTCAAATGATCGTTCAAGACCTACGCCCCATTCGAACTGTTGAATGCGATGGTTTTCGTAACTTAATGAAGTACTTGGAGCCGGGATATGTCTTACCAAGCAGAAAACAATTTACCGCTGATATCAACCTTAAACATGCAACGTGCAAACAACGTCTGAAAGAAAGGCTAAGTGAAGAAGCAGTGTTTATATCGTTAACCACGGATATATGGACGAGCATCGCGACAGAAAGTTACATCACCGTAACAGCGCATTACATTGATAACAGCTGGGTGCTACAGGCCTTTGTAATGGAAACCTTACCTTTCCCAGAACGGCACACGGTGATAAACATTGCAGAAAAGCTGAAGAAAGTGGTGGAAGAATGGGAGATTATGGATACTGTTAGAATGGTTAGCCATGACCAGGGGTCCAACATGAAGGCTGCCATGGAAATTTTGCATGAAGAACTAAATTGGCAAAACTTACATTGTACTGCTCACTGCCTTCAACTCTGTATACTAGCAGGGTTTAAAATCAATTCCATTGACAGGCTGCTGGCTGCTGGAAAGAAGATTGTTACACACTTTCACCACAGTGTAGTGGTATCACAAGCTCTAAAACAGAAACAAGTCAACATGAACATGTCTAGTAAAAAATTAATCAACAGTTGTGTCACTCGATGGAACTCAACATATGAAATGTTAGATCATCTGTTAAAACTCCAATGGCCTGTAACTGCTGTTCTGTCAGATAGTCAAGTAACAAAACCCAGTGATAGATACTTGGATTTAAAATCTGAACAGTGGAAACAAGCCGAAAAATTAGTGGAGGTTTTGGAAAACTTTAGTACTGCAACGACCTTTCTGAGTTTTGAAAAAAATGTGTCAATGTCAGCTGTGTTTCCGATATTACATGGTATTCTTGACCAGCTAGAGCCAGACGTGTCAGGTTCTGGCATAATCAAGCAATTCAAAGATACTGTGTCATCAGAGATCTCTGAGAGATTTGAACTCAAATCTTTGCATGCTGCACACCCAATGCTGTTGACAGCTATTATTGACCCTCGATTTAAAAATCTTACCTTAGGTAGATACACAGAAACTGAACAAGAAGCCCAAAAGAAAGACAACATTGAGCTGATGGAGATGTATAAAGAATATGAAGAACATGAGCCTGCTTCACATGAGCCTTCTCCATCTGTTGTAAAACGACCAAAGAGATTGACTGCATTGGACAAACTCCTAGGTGAGGAGGCAGTGGTAGCAGAACCCTCTCTCAGCTCAGAATTGGAATAGTATCTGGCCGAACCTCCTCCACCTAGACGAGATAATCCACTTGTATGGTGGAAGTTAAATGCTGGTCACTTCAAAGTTGTTTCATTTTTGGCTAGATGATTACTGTGCATACCAGCTACAACCACATCTTCAGAAAAAGTTTTCTCTACGGCAGGCTTAACAGTCACTAAATTACGAAGTTCTTTAAAACCAAAAATGTTGACGCATTAATTTTTTTGAACAAAAATTTAAGCAAACTGTCATTACAATAGTATTTATATTTTTTATAGTGTGAGAATGCATGTGTGTTACACTATTCAAACATATTGTATTGTACTGTACTAACTATTTTAACTACTGCATTATACTGACTATTATTACTTGGTACTGCTGATGGAAACTTGGGTGGTTTGTGACTGACAATACTATGTAATGCTACTAAATAAAAGCTTCCAGATTCCAG